GACCTCAGCGGGCTCTCCCCGGACACCCGGAAGGGACAGGGACGTGTCTGTTGGGGGGGGAGCCTGTGTCATGCAGGTTTGGGGGGGCCCCCCGCACCCAGGGCCTGCGGGCTGGCTGATGAAGCCCCCGGGTGCCTTTCCGGGTGAGGGCCCCAGGCCTTTGTGGCTGTGAGTGCTGGCCGGCCCGTGGGCAGCACCCAGTGTGGCAGCGGGTGGCGGGAAGGGCTGATCTGGAAAGTTCTCTGGAGAGTTTGTCGTTTGCACACGGAGGAGGATAAAAATCTCTGGGAGCTTCAGGGAAGACCCAAACAGGCAAGGCCCTCTGGCGCCCTCTAGTGCTCGAAAGGGGCCAGGGCCGGGCGGCGGCGGGAGGCCGGAGCCCGCCCTGCAGACCACAGGCCCTGGCTTCTGGCGGGATCTTCCCCAGGGGGCTTGTGGCCGATGCTGCTCAGCATCTGGGGGGCACCCCGGTGCCCTGCCCATGGCAGCACAAGCCCACGTGAAACCAGCTGACCCTGGCCGTGGGTCGGGCCGTGCGGGCCGCCTGGGAGACCCCACTGCGGTGCTCACGTCCCTGACGCCACGTGGTCCCTTAGGTCTCAGAACTGCTCGACGCTCCCAGGGCTCCCCCAGGCATCTCTTGGGCGCCCACTCGGGGCCGGCCCGGCCGGGGAACAGGAAGAGACCGCGGGGACTGGACCACGCCGAGCTCCCAGAGGCCGGGTCTGTCCGGCACTCACAGGCAGTGGGGCCTCTCTCTGCAAACGGGGGCGCCCTCGAGAGAGCTCAGGCCAAGATGGTGGCGGGTGGGGGATGGGCCCAGCCGGCGGGAAGCAGAAACGTCACCTCTGCCAGCACGAGGCCTGGGGGCCTGGGGAACTTCCTGGCAATGGTGGACCCGCAGCCCCGGGCTGCTCGCTCCCACGTGCAGCCCCCGGGCCTGCCACGTCCCAGACCCGGCTGGGACGAGGCGCGGCACCGCCCCTCCGCCATCCCGCGCCAGCCCTGCGCCGCCGGCCACATCTGCTGCGGCAGCCTCGCCAGAGCTCCGCCTCCCGGCTCCGTCCCCATGGAAACTCGGGGGGGCGGGGTGGGGGGGGCTCCCACTGCATTTGGCCGCTGACTGGGTTCCAGTAGTGCCAGCCTGCTTTCCTCAAGCCCTGCCCCTGAAGTTCAAGTCCCCCCTCTGCGCCCCGGTTTCTCCCCACGTCTACTGAGCAGCGGCCTTCTGTGCGAGGGGACCCAGCCGGCTGGGCTCGCCCGCCCTGGCTGCGGTCCCTCCGTGCCCGGGGGCCCCCGGGGCGGCGACCGCTCTGGGTCTCAGCGGCTCAGACCGCGTGCTTTCTTGCTCAGGCCCCTCCGCCCCTGGGCCCAGCCGCGGACGGAGGCGGGGGCTCCAGGCTTCCACCCCGGGTGGGCCGTCGAGTCTCGGGAGTCGTCGACGCAGCCCCTTCCTCTCTCCAGGCCTCAGTTTACCCATCGGTAAAACGGGAGGGTGGAGTTCTGTCTCCAGCGCCTAGAGGTGACGCCCCGAAAGGAGAGGGGGACAGAACGCCGGCTCATCTGGATCCCCAGTTCTGGGTTTTGTTTGTTTCCAAAGACATTTTTTTTTCCCTCGTCTAGGAAGGAGTCCCTGAGACCTGCTGGGTGGGGCGGGGGTGGGGGGGCAGCAAGGCGGGCCACACCCAGACCGGCCCGCGTTCTACTGTCTGTCAGCAGGCACCCGCATCCCCCGTCCCCTCCCCATCCCCCCAGGGGTCCTTTCCAGGCTCCCCTTCCCGGGACCCCTGAGGGCCCACCCTGCCCTTGGTGGCCTGCCCTGCCCCCTCCTGGCTCTCCCCAGCCAACGGCCCCGCCTGCGTGGCCCTGAGCTGGGCGACCAGCTCCTACAGGCGTCTGGCATCTGCCATGAGAGACTGAGCAGACAGGGCCGGCCCCGGTCCCCAACCTGGCACAGGGCGGGCTCTTGGGGAGCATTTCATGAATGAGCAGAATGGAATCCGGCGACAGACCCAGGTGAGGAGTGCCCCCCGGTGCTCCGTGCCGCGGCTGCCAAGCCAAGGCGCCCCGAGAGGCCAGCCGAGGGTCTTCCCACCTCCCCCCACGAGCAGTCCCTGTTAGGACGCATGGGGGGGGCCTGAGACCCCGCCCCAGACGGTGGGGTGGCGCCCGAGGGCAGGGCCCTGCCTGCCCGCCCGCCTGCCGTGGAGGGAGGGTGCCCGCCATCGGCGGCAGGGGCGCGGGAGAGCCACGCTGCCGCCTCTCTGGGGGTTTCCGTCGGGGGGAGCAGCTGCGAGGGGTGGCCGTCGAAGACTGGGGGGCCTTTTCGTCCTGGGTCCCTGGGCGTGAAAGGCGAGGGGCTGCCGGCCCATCCGGTGCCGTTGGCGGGGAGTGGCCCAGCCCGCGAACTCGGGTCAGACACTTCCCGTGCGCAAATGTCCTGCGCCGTCTCGCCGCCATGTTGCAGCTCCCGGGGCCCCACGGGCCACGGGGCTGTCTCCCCTCCCCTCCCCTGGCAGCGCCCCTGGGCCTGCCCGGCCCCGTGGGGCCCCCCACACCCCTCACACTCCTGGACTTGGAGCTGGGGCCCTGCTCCTGGGAGCGGCTCCCTGGAGGAAGGGGGAAGATTTGTACGTAGAGACGGAGGTGCTCGTCCAGACACCTCGCAGATGTGAGGTCCTGGGAGCGGCCGGCCCTTCTGCTGGGGTGAAGCGGCCGTGACTCGGCCGCCGATGGGGCGACCCAGCGGGCTCCTGCCCTGGCGGGGGGCCCCAGGACAGGCGGGCCCGGTCCCTGTGACGGGCGACCTTCCCGAATGGTTGGTTGGGAGCGATCGCTTCTCTTTCCTCGGGACCCGTGTCCCCCGCCGTGGGGGGAGCGTCATTCACAATGCAAAGTCAGCCACGTGGCCGGGGCGCAGGCGGTGGGGGGTGGGGGGAGGGGGAAGGGGGCGGGACAGAAGCCCGGCGGCCATTTTGAAGGCTCGAAGGTGACCGGGGCAGAGCCCAGCCTGGTCCCCGTGACTGTCCCCGGTGCGGCGGCTGGAGGCGACATCCGCACAGGAAACAACTTCGTCCTCGAGCCAGATCGGGGCCGTGCTGTGCTCGCACCGCCGCACCCAACCCGCAGGGCTCAGGCGGGCACGTCGGGCGTGGCTCCTCTTCCGGGGCCGACTTGGTGCGGCGCTGGCGGGAGGGCCTGCTGTCTGGGGTGCCTGCCCGCCCACCCACCCACCCGTGTTCTCCCGTGCCGGCTCCGTGCAGGAGGGTGCAGGGCTCCCTCCCAAGCGGCCACACTGGGCCTCAGAGGGGCCGGGTTCCCGAGCGCCAGGCAGCCTAGAAGATTCTGTGACCCGCTGGGCTGGGCGGCGCGAGCTCCTCCCCGGGACAGGCCGCTCTGCCCCACGAGGCCAAGTCCTTGGGGACGTGAGCTGGCCTGCGCCCCGTCCCCACGGCTGCCGCGGTAACCGTCGGCGGGCGCCCCCGAGTCCTCACCGGAGCCATTTTGGCCCACTCCGGCCTGGCGTGTGTGTGTCTGGCAAACCCAGGCTGGAGGACATGGCTGCCCCCAAGCTCTCCAGCCGCCTCGGGCCCCCCCCCCCAGGTCCCTCCCTGGCCCCGGGCTGTGGCGGGAAGGGCGTTCCTCCCACGCGTCATCCCTTGGAGAGGGGCCACGGCGAGTGCCAGAGGCAAGTGTGGACAAGTCGGGGCTGAGCCCTCGGGGGTAGCAGCTCCCTCGGGGCCTCCGAGCCCCTGGCGCCCGGCCTGCCCTCTGCCGCGTCCACCCTGGCCCCCAGCCCGGGGGGGCTGCTCAGGGAAGGAGTTTTCCCGGAGCCCGGGACCCCAGCACGTTCTCACACGTCCTTGGAGCCCCACCCGGCGTGGAGCACCCCTCGTGTCTTCACGCGGCGGCCCGCAGCCCCGAGGAGGCGGGCGCTGCGCTCCCGGCGGCACAGATGAGGAGACTGAGGCCCGGAGAGGGGGAGGGGCAGTGCCGAGGCGGGAGCCCGGCAGCCGTGGGTCCCCTGGCAGAGGGACCCAGGAGTGTCCTCCATTGCAGGGGTACCCGTGGGCAGGGGCCAGCAGGTCTGGCAGACCCCACCCCCAAACCTGCTTCTGGAACTTGGGGTGCTGTGCCCCTGAGGGACCCCATTTGGAGTTCCCCAGTCAGGGGCCCTGGCCACCCCTTCCCCCACCACCCCGTGCGGGCCAGCCAGCCCAGGGCTCCCAGAGGAACTTGGGAAGGAGGGTGCCCGGTCCCCTCCTCTCCCCGGTCGCCCTGCTCACGCCTGGCCTGGGCAGAGGTTCCAGAAAGTACCGGCCTGCATTCCTCGCCCCGCCCAAGATTCCAGCCGAGGCCGAGTCAGACGCTGGACCAGCTTTGCCGCACGTGGTCGCCGCGGAGAGCCCGCAGGCCAGCATGAGCCTGAGCCCAAGGCATGGCCCTTGCTCCGCCGGCCCCAGGGGGACCCCTCACTGGCTCAGGGAAGACCCAGAGTCACGTCGGCACCTCCTGAGTCCCAGGCCGTGGGCGTTGTCCCCAGGTACAGGGTACCTGCTGTTGTCTCAGTGTCTGGGCACCCTGCTAGGCTAAGAGACATGCACCCGTGTGAGAGGTGGTCCCTGCCACGGAGCCACCTGCCTCGGGGGAGACAGGCAGCGAGCTGATTCTGAGGGACCCCTGCAGGAAGTGTGGACCCTGTGGGGGGCAGGCACCCCGAGCCCTGTCAGCCCTCCCACCGAGGACACGGGTGTGTGTGTGGCTGGGCCACCAGGAACCAGCAGCCACGGCCGGCTTGGGGGCACGAGTCCGGAGCAGGGCCGCAGGCAGGCCTCGGACAGGGCCTTTCCGTCGGTCTCCGCCTCCGAGTGAGGTTCTGACCCCTGGGCTCTGCGGGGCCTGCAGCCAAGGGCAGGCTGGCTGTCCCGCCCGCCCCACCCCCGGACCCCTGTGCCACCGGGCCCACCGAGCTGACCCCTTGCTCCCCTTGTGTCTTGCAGGATGTGGCTCCTCCCAGAGCACCCCCGAGGAAGTGGGGTCCGAGACGGCCTGTGAATGGTGCTCCAGGACCGCACAGCCCAGGTAAGCCGGTCTGTGCCCCGGGCCTGGACAGGGGGGTGCCCCAGGAGCTGCGTGGCCTGGCCTGGCGAGGACTGTGGGCCCCTCTATCAGGAGACCCCAGCACCAGCCCCACACGGCAGGCCCCGGCCTGCAGCCAGGTGCGGAGTGCCCTGGACCTCCGGCCGCCCCCCTCCCGGGCGCCTGCAGGAGCGGGAAAGGGAGCCCAGAGCGGCTCGGAAGGGAGGCGCTGGCCTGGGGTCGTCAGAACCCACGGCCTGTGCGGGTGGAGCCCGAGCACATAGCCCCTGTGGGTGCCACGGGCAGGAAGGAGCCGGGGCGCTGCGTGTCCACTGCGTGTTCACTGTGTGTCCACTGCGTGTTCACTGTGTGTCCACTGCGTGTCTGTGTCCCGCCATGCCAATACACGCAGCGCCTCGGCCTAGAGCAGTGTCCACGGTGCGGAAGGACAGGAGCGAGCGGCGGAGGGAAAACTCGGAGCAGGCCCGGAGGGTGTGGCGGCACGCAGAAGCCCCGCAGCCGCTGGTGGCGCCTCGCGGGCTCAGCTCTGAGCTTCCTGGCGGCCGAGGGGGGGCGGGAAAGACGACCCCTGGCAGGGAGTGGTGTCCGGGAGTGCCGTGCTCAGCAGTGATGCGGGGAGACCTGCCTGGTGCTGACACTCCCTCGGGTCCCGCGTCCCCGATGGGGCTGGGGCGGCAGGAGGGGCAGAGCCCCCCCCCCCCGGGCTCACCCTGGCCACACCCCTCTCCACCCGAGCAGGCGCAGCCCGAGTTCACCAGCCCTGAAAACCGAGGCTGAGGTCTTCGAGCGCGGCGGGCCGGCCCGGACAGGCACAGACGCAGGACGTGTGTGCCCCACACACGGCGGGGCACCTTCCCCAGACCTAACCAGAGTCTCTCTGTCCTTCCAGGTGTCAGCCCGCCTGTCCGGCCACCGCACTCCCCCGGTGACTGATGCCTGAAGCTTGGGTGGCTCTGCCACCGCAGGTCAGTGCCGTGTTTGGGGTGTCGAACATGAGGGCTCCCGCTGCCAGATGTGCCTGACACGGGGTGCACACACACACACATGCAACATGCACCCGCAGGCCGGAGGAGCGGCGGGCACTTTGCACACATTAGCATGAGCTCAGCCGGGTCCACTCTGACCTCCCACCCGCCTCTTTCTGCAGACACAGGCCCAGGGTCTGCGAACAGTCGGGTCCAGCCTCGGTGTCCACTCTGACCACCGGAAATGGGGGCCGAGGGCTGGGAAAAGCCCGGCTGTGGCCTGGAACGCTTCAAGACCAGTGTGCACGTTTGAAAGGGCTCAGCCCCCAGCCTGCAGGCAGGAGGACACTGGGTCGCTGCCCTGGTCTGGAGCGCGTCCCCCCGCCACCCAGAGCCCCTTGGGGGGTGACACCGCCCGTGGTCCCCCAGGGCTGCAGGGAGCTTGGGCGGGAGGAAGGTTCCAGAAAGGGCCCGGCCCGCCCGCCCCCTCTCTGGCCAAGGCCCTCCCGGGCCTCGGTGCAGGGCGGGCGGATCACTTCCTGAGTGGGCACCCCCGTCCTGCGGCTGTGGGCCCCCCCCACCCCCGGCCGCCTTTGTCTCCAGAGGGCTCCACAAAATGGCCGCCCGCCCCCCCCCCCGCCGCCATTTCGTGTCCTGGACGCTGCCCCCTCCCCCCGCCATTTCGTGTCCTGGACGCTGCCCCCTCCCCCCGCCATTTCGTGTCCTGGACGCTGCCCAGCGCGCGCCCCCGCCCGGGCCAGGCCGCCCGGGCTTGGCACCAGCCGCACGCTGGCAGGTCGGCCGGGAGCCCCGGCCCCGTGCCCGGAGACGCTGGGACCCAGAGCCCGGCGGGGCTGGGGGGGACGCCGTGCTGCAGGGAGTGGGGGGCCCTTGGCAGCCTGGGGCTGGCGCGTACCATTCCGGAGGGACGTTTGCCCGGGTGGGAGCGGGCTCTCTGGCCATTGGGAGCAGGGGCGGGTCTGGCTCGGCCACCCCCTCCCTCCGTCCCTCACCCGCCCTCGGCCCTGCACCGGCCGAGGGGCCTCGGGCTTCTGGGCTGGATGTGTCCTCTGGGGGGCGGGGGGCAGGCAGGGGGCTCCCCGGGGGGTGTCGTGGACAGCAGGGAACCGCCCTCCGGCCGGGCCGTCCCCGGGTCAGCCGAGGTGCTGCTCGGTGCAGAGCACGGACGGCTCGCACCTCCGACAGCACCCGGCGGCTGAAGGAACGCCCGCTGGGTGGGCAGCAGTCACTCTGTGTCCAGGAGGTCGGGGCAGCAGGCACTGGGGACACCACCATGCCGTTCACAGTGGGCCGGTGTCCTCCACCAGCCTCGGGGGGTGGGCGCAGGGGGTGGGCACGGAGCGCCTGCCTGCAGCCCCAGCCGTGAGGCCCTCGGGGGGCCCGGAGCTCCTGGGACTTCTCTGCGAACCTTCGAGACGAGTGTGCACCTTTGAAAGCACTGATGCCCCGTGCCCGGCAGCGTGGGCTGGCGCCCGGCAGGCGGGCAGCTGCACCTCGTCCTCTGGGTGCCCGAGGGGGGCCGTGGTGGGAAGCGTGGGGGTGGCAGGGCGCACAGTAGGGCCTTGACGCCCCCTCCTCCCCCCCCAAGCCCTCCAGGCTGGCAAGGTCACTGGCCCCGGCCCCGGCCCCAGCCCCTTCCGGGGGCCCTCTCCGTGCATTCCCGGAGAGAACATTTCGTGGCCGTGAGGCGAGGTTTGTTCCGGGGGGGCAGCGGAATGGAGTGACCGGGGCTGCGTGTCCCACGCGCCCGGCCAAGACCACACAGCCTCCTGGCGGCCAGAGAGGCCCTTGTCCCCACAGGGAGCCGTGCCCATGGGGGCTGCCTGGGCCGGGCCTCACGCCGGCATTTTAATGATGCCGCCGCCCTTGCCTTGTGACCCAGACTGCGGCTTGAACGGAGAGTATTTTCAGCTGAAATACACGCCTTTGAGGTTAAGACTGTTTGCCTGATGGTGGAGCGCCAGCTGGAGCCGCCCCCGGGCTCCGGAGCGGGCGCTGCCTGCGTCCTCGCTCTCCCTGCGGACTCCGAGCCCACCGAGAACTCAGCCCCCCTGGGGCGCGGGGGACGTCTTCTCCCCTCCCACAGCCTCCTCCCGCCGGTGGCGGGCCGCTCAGGCCCAGGGGTGCATGACTGAGCCCATGGCCGATGGGCCAGAGGGGGGCAGCCAGCACTGCACCCTGGCAGTGTCCGGGGCCGGCCCTCTGCTGCGCCCCGTGCCTGTGCCCCCCGCCGGTGCGGGAGGTGCGTCTGCAGAGCGGGACCCCCGCTCCTCAGATGCCGCTTGAGTGGGCGTCCACACTCACACGCCCGAGGGCGGCGGCGGCGGCGGCGGCACCCACCCGGTGCCTGGCCCTGCGCTGGGGAAGGGGCATCCAGCCGCCGCAGTGGGGCAGGCCCGGACCCTGCCCCGGGGAGCTGATCCCCCAGTAGCTTGGAGGTCTCTGGAGATGGGCAAACAGAGCCAGGGGGGACACGGGGTCCCGCCGATGGGAGACCCTGACCTGGGACAGGAGATGTCCGCTGTAGAGGAACAGCAGAGGGTGGGGAGCTGGGCCCTGGCTCCCATCCCGCCTGGAGATGCCGTTTCCCCCCACCACCCCCTGAGGTTGGGGCCTGTGCCACCCCAGGGGCGCAGGTCCAGGTAAAAAAAACCCGGGGTCAGAGACCCCAGGTTCTGGCTTTGCCCCGGGTCCCGGGGTGTGGCCTTGGGCGCCGTGAGAGCCTTTCCCACCAGGTAACTTTCTGCCCTTGAGTTAGCTTTGGTGCTGACTCTCGGAGCCCCGCAAACCGAGGGGCTGGCCGGCCTCCCCAGCGCACGCTGCCCGACATGGGGTGCACCTCTCGTCCACGTCACGGCCTGTTGGCAGGGGAGCCTGCGCCCCCCCCACCTCTTTTTCCCAGACTGCACTGCTGGCACAGCCCGGCCAGCAGAAACACTGGCTGCTTTATGGGGAGAAACCTAATCGGGGCGGCTGTGGGGGCGGGTGGCTGTGGCGGGGTCCCAGCTCCCGGTGGCCCCCAGCCAAGCCCGAGGTGACTGCGGGGTGACACCGTCTGTCTGCTTCGCTCGCCCTAGACACCCGCCTGGCTCCGAAAGGGCCACCTGCCCACCGCGGCCTCCCACACACCTGTGCCCGGCCGGCCCAGCCCCTCCCACCCCGGGCCTCCCTGCACCCCGGCCACGGCAGTCGGGGTGGGCTCTGCCCCCCGCCTGGCGCTGCCAGCCCCTGCCATCGGCCCTCGTCCAGGCTGGCTGGGGAGGTCCCTTTGGTCTGTCTCCGGACCCTTGTGGCTCCCAGGACCACAGGGCAGGTGGGCCCCCCCAACTCAGAAATGCCTCCTCGAACTGGTCACACACCCAGAAATGTCAATCCGAGACACGCACACACACCCAAGAAACCCGGTCTTTCGCTTCAGAAAGAGGCCAGTTCCACGCAAGCCCCTGCGTGGTGGGGCGGAGCCAGGGTGGCGGCTCGGGCGTGGCCGCGGCGGCCCCAGGCCTGACGCTTGTTGCTTTCTCCTGCACCCACAGGTTGGACAGTGGCGCCCGGACGAGTCCCCTGCCTGAAGCTGGGCTTCGTCGTGGTGAGCTGGGTGTCAGGGCGGCCCCCGGCCTGGGACAGCCCCGCCCTGCAGGGTGCCTCTCCTCTGGCTGCCCCGCCGGGTCCCTAGGTGCCGGGTCCCTAGGTGCCGTTGCCCCGGGAAGTAGGGGCCGTGGGACATCTGGAGACAGGGAGGGGTGTGGTCAGAGCTGTGTCCCTCCCCTGCAGCTCTGGGTGTCACCGTCAGGCACAGAGGCCCTGAGAAGGGGACCTCCCGGTCCAGCCGCCACACCCTCGCCCAGCTGTGCCCTCCACCCGAAGCCGTGTCCCTCCCTGCCCCGCTGGTCCCCCGCCAACCCCCCATTTCCCACACCTCATCCACCCATCCTGCGCGCCTGACATCATGCCCTTCGACCTGCTGGTCTCTGAGGTCCGCTCTGGCCGCCCCCGCCCCATCTGAGTGGCCGTGGCCCGGCGGGGCCCTGGGCCCGAGCAGAGCGTCTGGGTGGGTGAGGCGCCCTCGGCCCGTCTCCCTCTGTGCCCGGGGTTCAGCTGCCGCTGTGCACCCCTTCTCCTCCTGCCTCGAGGGTCCCCCGGGGCCAGCAGGGCCCGAGGAAGCCCCCTTCCCTCCACACAGCTGTGAACCGGCCCTTGAGTGTGACCCTGCGGCACCCAGGCCACCTGCTGTCACCCCAGACGCCAGGCGGTGCGTGTGCCAGGAAGGCAGAGAAGGGCCCGATGAGGGACACGGTGCCACCTGCCTTTCCCAGCCCCGTGCGCCCTGGGGCGGGGCCCGTGCAGACGGCCAGGGCGGACCGGGGCGTGTCTGCCTCCGTCCCCCTCCCGCCCTGCCCTCCTCGCCCCGTGGAGCCAGGGCGGCAGCCCACTGGGCCGGCAGAGGCGCCTGGCTGGGGCCGGCAGAGCGCGCCCTGGAACCGAGGCAGGGCCTGGGGGGTGGGAGGGTGGCAGCTCTGGTGACTGGGGGTGGCCAGGCCGCTGCTGGCATGACCCCACGTCTCAGGGGAGACCGAGGCCACAGGACATGGGCCATGCCCCGTCCCTGCCACCCACCTGCAGCCCGCCAGCGTCTGCAGTTGGGGCCAGGTGGGCCCTGTGGCCCAAGGGCCCCGGGGCCTCAGGGGCTGAGTCAGGAGCCCAGAGTGTGCTCTCCGGCCGCCTCCTGGGGCATCACCGGGCGGGGGCCAGCTCTCAGCCTCAGGGTCCGCCCCACCGTGAAGCCCACAGCAGCCAGCCGTGCCTGGGCAGCTGGGCGCTGCCAGAGGCCCCCTGCCCGACAAGCCAGGGCATTCCAAGGGGTTCGGGAAGACCCTCCATCACTCCACCCTGAGGTGCCGCCACCGCGCCAGGCTGGCCCTGCCCGTTGGGACGGGGCTTCGGGCCCCCTTGGGGGACAGCCAGCAAGAAGACCAAGCCAGGCAGGAAGGGGGGTGCGCACGAGGTTTGGGGTGCCGGGCCGCCCGGAGCTCGCACGCCGTGTCACCGGGCAGAAAGTGCCGTGCTCTCACCTCCACTCAGCCACTGTCGGCCACTGTCGGCTGAGTGCCCCCCGCCCTCCAGGACGAGCTGCGGAGGCCGAGAAGTCCGTCCAGGCGCCCAGATTGACGGCCCTTTGGGGTGAGGTAGTAGGTTGTATAGTTTGGGGCCCTGCCCTACTGTCGGATAACTATACAATCTACTGTCTTTCCTGAAGAGGTTGTAATGTCGACGGTGGACAGCATCCGGGGCCCTGGGGGGGAGGGGGAGGAGCGCAGGGGCAGCCTCCACGGTCTGGGGGTGGGGGGCTACCACGCAGGAACCCTTAAACGCCTAGGTCGTGCTTGCTGTGTGACCTCGGGCAGGTCCCTGGACCTCTCTGGGCTTCAGGGTCTTCCTCTGACCCAGGGGCAGCCGAGGACGGAAGGAGAGACCGGGTGACGTGTCCAGACCAGGGTGGGGCTCAGAGTGGACCCTTCCCTCTCCCCATGCCGTGCTGAGAGCCGGCGGACCCACGGGGTCTTCCGTGTAGCCCGTCTCCCCTCTCTGCCCCCACGACAGGCCCCGAGTCCGGCCCAGGCCCTCAGCGGCATGGGGAGGGGGGTGCCGGGTGGCGCCCCCGGGAAACCCACGGGGCTGGCTGGTGCACCCCTCCCTGCCCCAGGCGCAGGTCATGGCGTGGGCGGCCCTGCGAGTTGGGAAACGGAGACACCATCTGCACGGACCCCCTGCCCTGCGCCTGCCCAGCCCTCCAGCTCAGCCCCAGCGGCTGGCCCGGGCCGGCGTGGGGCAGACGCGGGGGCCGGCGGGCGCCCCCGCGCCCAGGGCGCCGGCGGGGTGAGGTAGTAGGTTGTGTGGTTTCAGGGCAGGGATGTTGCCCCTCAGAAGATAACTATACAACCTACTGCCTTCCCTGAGGAGCCCGGCGGCACGAGCCGCGGGGGGCCCGCCCCCGCCCGCCTCTCTGGGCTGCAGCCCCCCACTTGGCTGCGGCTGGCACACCTTGACCAATAAAGGCTGTTCTGATGAGAATCTGGAATTGGCTCATTCATTCTAGGAGCGGGGGGGTGGTGGGGCGATGGGGGGCATGCCTGCTTGTGGGAACCTGTGTGTGGCCTTCGGGCCCTTCCAGCGGGTTGACTCTTGCACCCTGCACCCCGGCCCATCCCCCACCCGGTCCCCATCTCCTCTGAGCACGGCGGGGACCCAGGCCACAGAGGCAGCCCCCAGCCTGAGCCTGGGCAGGAGGCCGGGTCCCAGCCAGCAGCTCCCAGGCCTGGCTCCAAGGCTGCCTCAGCGCCTGGCCCTTGACCCCAGCCTGTCCCCACTGCCCTCCCAAAGCCACACCAGACAGCCCCGGGCTGGCTCCTGCTAACCTCGGGGGCACACAGAAGCGGGCGTCACCCCGGCCCCCAACAGGAGAACAGCTGGGATGCAGACAGTCCCCAGACGATGGTCCGGGACAGGGAGCCTGGGACAGGGACCAGAGGAGGCCCTACGCAGGCATAGGTCCGGGGGACCCCACGAGGACGGGACCGGCCGAGCCCGGCACCTCTTGGCCCATGTTTGCAGGAGCCCGAGGCCTTGGCCAGACCGTCCTCCGGTGTCCTGACCCCTCCCCCGCCACGATGACCATCCCCGAGCCCCATGTGACCCCAGCCTCCATCTCGAGCCTCCTGGGTGGGTTCTGGCGGGCTTCCCGGGGGGCCCCCTGGGCTTCATGGGGACACCCGTGCAGGAGTTTGCAGCTGGGGACAGAGGGGCAGCCTTCCCAGCGGGCACCTGTCCCTTCATCACCACACTCACCCTTGGTGGGGGGGCTGGGGTCGGGGAGAACCTTGGGCGCTGTCCCCCACCCCTTCCTCATGCTGTGGCCAGTGGCAGGCCGGCCACTTCTGTCCCCTGGACATCATTTCTGTCCCTCCTCTGGCTCCACCCTGGCTCCCACCTGCAGCCTCAGAGCTGCTCAGAGCGGCCCCTCCGCCACCCTCCATGTGCAGCCCTGCCCTCACACGCGTGTGCCCTCACGCCCGTGTGCCCTCACCTGAACCCCCTCCCCACGCATCATCGCTCTGATGCCCAGCCTCGGCTCCAGAATGCCCCCGGCTCAGGCGTGGCCTGTGGCCGACGGGGGTCTGTCCGCCCAAGCGGACCGACTGCACCTGTGAGCCGCCCGGGGGGTCTGTCCGGCCTCTCCTCCTGACCCCCTCGATGTGCCCCTCCCTCCCCGTGAACACAGCTGGGGGCTCTGCCCTCGCAGAGCTATGGCCTGGTAGGCAGTGTCCAGGGACACACAGCAGCCACCCATTGTTGTCAGGACAATGTGGGGAGCGGACCAGGGCCTTGGAGAGCCCCGAGGAGCCCTGCAATCAGGGACGGCTTCCTGGAGGGGGTGACACCTGGCTCGCTTGTGTCCCTCCCTCCCTTTCAGCCAACCAGCTTCCAGGCTCTTCTCTGCCCACTGGTGGCCCCTAGAGATGGGGTGTTGGAACCCTCCCAAGAGGTGGGCTTGGGGGGGGGGCTGGGACACCCAGCCTCCGTTCATCACAACCCTCGGAAGCAGTGAAGCCCCGGAACAGACCGGCCGAAGGCGTCGGCGCAGCCAGAGCGGCGGGTTGGCCTTCGCCCTCTCTCCCAGCACTGGGAGGCCCTGGGGGTGCGGGGCGGGCTTCGGGGGCAAAGGCCAAAGACGGTCGCTCTACTCACAAAACCTCCCTCCCCCCGTCATTTCATGGGGTGCTGTGAGGACGTCGGGAGAGGTGGCGGTCAGAACTGGGCTCTGGTGGGGTGCAAGGTGAGGACCGGACAGGTCCAGGATGGGGGGGTGCTGCTGAACCCCGAGCCACAGCTGGGCCCCTGGCGCCACCTGCTGCCGTGTTCAGGGAGAAGCTCCTGGAGGGGCTCAGGTGAGGCCACAGGTCCCCTCGGCTTCTGGGTGTTTGGGGTGGGCCCCAAGGCCCACAGGGGCCATCTCCGACCTTGACCCCCTCAGGGGCTAGTCCAGCAATTAATCAGAACCTGCTGACCACAGCTGAGCCAGGGCCACGTGGCACCAAAGGACAAGGCCATCACCCAGAGCCAGGGTGAGGGGGCAAAGGCCAGGGTCTCAGCGTGTCCTCACTCTCAGGGACACGTGGCCGGCCGGCCTGACCGCCAGCTCAGAGGGTGCGGAGCCCAGGCCCAGCTCGGGCCGGGGCCCACGGAGCGCTTCCATCTGGGCCCCTTTTAAACCCCGAAGGGAAACGCACATCGCAGTGCAGCACGCATGGAGTCGTGGGTGCATAGGTGACACCCTCCGTGCTGTGGAGATCGTCACACGCAGCGTGGGGGCTGTGTGGCGTCAGTAACAATGAATCCAGCCCGGGTTCTGTTTCTCTTATCCCACCCAGCCATGAAGTCCGCTGTGTAGTCCCCCACAGAGGAAGGGCCTGCCGCCCGGCCAACCCGAGGTGCACGGCCCACCACTGCCATCACCCTGCCCTCACCCCGCGGTCACCCCGCACAGGCGCCCCCTCCGCCAGCCAGAGGGAGGCCTGGGCTGTGGCCTGCCGGCCCCCTGCCTTCCCGCTGTGTGCTCCTCGACAGCGACACCGTGTGGCGGCAGGAGGTAGTGCTGGCCGTGAGCCGGGAGCCACCAAGCCCTGCCTGCACCTCCCCGGGGGTGACAGCCAAGGCCACACTGCACTGGGTCTGTCCACTCCGGGGCCTGTGGCTGTTCTGCCCCACCCCCGCTGCTGCCTGGGGGCTGGGGGAGGGAGTGGTCGGAGCTGCAGAGCAGGGACAGGTGGAGTGCTGGGCCCCCTCCCTGTAGCCAAGGAAGCAGGCCAGGCCCAAGGCCTTCCCGTGTGCCCAGGCCACCTGCTTCGCCCCTGAGGGTCCACCTTGGCCAGAGAGGAAAGGGGCCACCTGCACAGCCCGTGTCTGGGCCCCCGCTGCCTCAGAAGGAGGCGACATGACCTGCCCTCGTAGGTGGCAGGACCCCACCCTGGTGGCCCTGAGCCCCAGCCCTGCGCCCTCCCAGACCCCGGGCCTCAGCGCCCACACACGCTCAGAGCAGCAGGGCGCAGAGCAGGCGGGCGGCCAGTTCCAGGAGTGAGGGGGCGCACATCCACAGAGATGGCCACGGGGCCCTGGAGCCCGGCAGCCCAGGGCCCAGCCAGAG